GCTAGAATCAAGATGGTTTTATTAAATAAAACTAGTTTTTCACGGGTTTTTGAAGTTATACTTCTTTAGCCGCGTTATGAAAAAATTATGAGAGTGAAATTTTCATCACTGTAACACAAAATTTTAACATAATGAAGTTAGCCGCGGGCGCGTTATTTGTAATATTTTATTTTCCAAGTGACCGTGGGGCAGATTTGAACAAAGCAAACATTTGAACAGATTTGAACGGGACATTGAAATGAAATGAAATAATGTGAAATGAAATGATATTTATTATTAATTTATTGTAATTAATTATTTGCATGCAATTAAAAACTAATTTTAAACGATGCCAAAGAAGGATAACTTCTCACGCGCCTACATAAGTACACGCACCCATTTTTTGTTCTGTGGCTGTTTCCGTTTCACACAGAAATTTCGCCAATATCCCGTAGTGAGAGAGACACGGTATGATAGAGATTGCTCGGTGTTTATACAAATAAAAAAAAATATTTTATCCGAATAACCCTTCTTCCTTGAGCTTCTTTTATTATTGTTCTTCTGAAAGCATAACACGCGCAAAGACAACACAGGTTTAAATTATTTCTATATAAAGTGTAGGTAATTTAATCGGTAGAGAAAAAAAAAAGGTTTAGTTATATTTAGAGGGGATAATAACATTATAGTTTTATACTAGCAAACCAGTGAACCAAATGTTCACCAAAACCTGATTTAAAAAAAAATGTATTTAATTAATTGAGAACTTCGGAGATTTTGTGTGGTTTCGTTTGAAATTCGTGATTTCTCGAAAACCGGAAGTGCTACGTTACTCAAATCCGGTTTGTAGTCTTATCAGACTATTCTTAACTTATAACTTAAATATTCTCTTTATCTATCTCTTACGGTTTGGCCGCTGAAACAGCACCACAGACGGACGGACGGACTTGTCTAATAGATAAGAGATATTTACATAAACAATAAAATCCAGGCTTGTCAGAAACTGTTAAAATAGTGCTAAGGTTAACGGGACGTTGAGTTTTGGGCGGAAGCAGGGGATATAGAGACGGTTGTTTCTGACAGTTAAAGAAAATGTGGTCTGTGGTGCCTTCTTCAAGACCGCATTCGCAGATAGAGTTATCTAAAATTCTTAACTTTGAGAGAAACACTGGAGAAGTGACATGGCGAAGACGGAGACGACTAATTGTTAATGCACGAAACTTTATTTATTTATTGACGTTTCGCAGCCTTTACAGGCTCCGTCGTCGGAATCATTTTTTTATTTAATTTTGTCGAGCTACCTTCGAAAGACTCTTATTGAGCGTTCGGTTATTTCATTGTTCGATTTTTAAAGTTTTATCGTCTATGTATGAATTTATTACTTAATTTAGTTAATAGAGTACTTTATTTAAATATCTTTTTTGTAATTTTGAGTTTATTTATTTTCAATAAATAAATAAAGTTTCGTGCATTAACCCGTGAAAAACTAGTTTTATTTAATGAATGATGTGCGTGAAAACCTAGGAAACAAATAAGATGGTTTCATGTTTTTTATTCGTGTAAATTAATAAACCTTACCCCATCCCCCACGTCGTGGATCCCTGGAATCATACCCACGGCAAGAACAGAGAAAGAGTTTTAAGATTTCGACAAAGAGGCTTTTTTATAATAATAATAATAATAATATTCTTTATTGTAATACACCATACAAGAAAACACAAGTAAATTAAAAAACATGGTAGATAGAACGTACACAATATAGGCGGCCTTATTGCTAGGCAGCAATCTCTTCCAGGCAACCCATAATAGTAAGATAAATAAATGTGAAGGAGAAAAGGAGGGGTGTTATAGAAAATAATAATAATATCTATGGCAGGAAAACAGATATATCTAAGGAAGGAAAGAGAGAGGATGAAGGAAATTTTTTACATCACTGTTGGGTTAAGAAATAACTCCGAACTTGATCCCTGAACGAGTTCAGAGTGCGAGCCCTTCGAATAGTTTCTGGCAAAGAGTTCCATAGACGTACAGCATGCACAGAGAAGGAATAGGAAAAGAAATCAGTAGAATGACTTGGAATTTCAAGAGATAGGTTAGAAGAAGATCGCAAAGTGCGCTGTGAAGTAGAAGAGAGAAACGAGAAGCGTTCTTTTAGGTTCTTTTATATTTTTTTTTTCAATTTATTTATTAATTAACTTTCGTACAACATACACATCATTACAGCACAAGGATTTATCTATGCTGCAGAGTCGCTCCACAGCCAATCACACCATCGAGCCTGTCTGGTTTCCTAAATAATATTCTTTTAACATTTTAATAAAGGGCCTAGTAGATTTTATTTTATTTTGAATAGCCTCTGGTAGTTCATTGGTGAATAAGGGTAACAAATACATAGAAGTTCTGGTACCATAAATATTGTTGTACTTTGCAGTAATAAATAAATAATTATTTTTTAAGTTCCTAAGATTTAATAGTCTCTGATAATGGATTAACAATTTGTCTGGGTCAGTCTGCTCTTTAAGGATGAAATACTTAATTTTGTCATATACGTTGATTACATTACAGTGCTTAAACAATTCTTTATCGTCATCTTTGTACTTTAACTTAATTTTTAATGGTACAATAGTCTCTTAAGCATTATTCGTTGTATTTTATATATTTTTTGCAGGTAAGTGTGAAAAGGTAAGTGGCCGCCATAGTGTATAGATGCTTGCGATACTAAAATATCACTCGCATAGTTCCCTACCCTGATGACCCAATCCACTGCCAAGTGGAGACCTAGAAAATAACTCACCAACAGACCAATAACTACAATTATACATTTATAATTCACTAGCGGCCCGCCCTCGCTTCGCTTCGGTGTAGACTACAGTTTTTGTTCTCAGGCTTGTATTATACACAATGACATTCATCTATGATTCTTCTTATACCTGCATGCAAAGTCTCAGCCCGATCGGTTTAAAATTGACAAAGTTTCATACAAACTTTCATTCCCTATTTATCCCCTTGGGGGTAGAATTGATCAAAATCCTTTCTTAGAGGATGCCTACGTCATAACATCTACCTGCATGCCAAATTTCAGCCCGATCCGTCCAGTGGTTTGGGCTGTGCGTTGATAGATAACTATGTCAGTCAGTCAGTCACCTTTGAGTTTTATATACATATCGACTACTGGGTGTGCCTGCGACTTCGTCTGGACAGCTCAATATAATTTCCCATTCAAATTTATACCCCCATTTTTATCTCCTTAGAGGATGAAATAAAATCTAACCTATGTCCTTTCCTAGTACTCAAACTATGTCTATATCAAATTTCGGCTGAATCAGTAGACACACTTCAGTATGGATAAGAAAATTCGAAGCTATTACAGTCATTTTACCGACTAAAATTTGTTTTCACGTGGCACAGTGTATTATGAAACCCATTTTTCGGACGTCTGCTTTTTATTAAAAAATCCTGAAGTTTCAATCATTTAAAATACTAGAATAGCACTCCAGAGTGGTAAAAACGCTTAGTTTTGAAAAAAAAAATCTTTGAAAATTTGGTTATATTTCCCGGTTATTTTTTTAGAAAAATTCCTTCTCTTAAAGCAAATATATTTTGAATTTATGACAAATGTTATTAGAAAGCATTTTACAAGCTTCATCTTTAAGAGCTATTAGCGCCCTTGTGGCTGCCTTAGAACAGGTATAATAACTTTTTTTCAGTTTTTCGTTTTTATTTTATTATTCAGATAATACACCGTATTTGGAAAAGTTATCCAAATAAAAATGAAGGTCCCAAATCCTTCTACCTACCACAAACAAATCACGTCCAAATTGCGTGGAGTCTATATGATACAGCCTGTTTTGTAAATAACCGGGTTTTTTTTCATTAGGGTTGACACTATTCACAAATTCAAAAATATCCGGAATATTAGGGTATAATCATAGGGTATGTAATATAATTTAAATGCTAGCTGTTACCCGCGGCTTCGCCCGTGTAATTTGTTTTTAATCGCACGGACGTCGGACCACGCGCAATGTAGGGTTTGTAGTTTCCCATCAATTTTCAATGGAATTTGTACATTTTTTCTTCTCCAAGTACCTTTTATAAGTTGTGTTTGAAATAAATTTAGGTACTTAATAGAATTTTCATTTCACATATTGCATAATTTATTAAAACTAAATGATATTATGTATTTTCAACATTATATAGTTTCTTGTTATATTACACACCACACGTGGGACTTAAACCACCCACCCACCTTAGATAAAATTCCGGATATTGAAAATTCAAAAAGTAACAACCCTGATCGAAATATTTAATTGAACACAGCTTCTAAACTCCACGCAATTTGGATGTGATTTTTTAGTGGTAGGTACAAGGATTTAGGACCTTCATTTTCATCTGGATAACTTTTCCAAATACGGTGGATTATCTGAAAAATAAAATAAAAACGAAAAACTGAAAAATAATAATTTCTCCTTTTCTATGGCAGTTACGAGGTCGCTAATAGCTCTTAAAGATGAAGCTTGTAAAGTGCTTTCATATCACTTATGACATATATTTAAAATATGTTTACTTTAGGGAGAAGGAATTTTTCTAAAAAAAATATCCGCAAAAAAAATCAGATTTTCAAATATTTTTTTTCCAAAACTAAGCATTTTTGATACTCTGGAGTGCTACTCTAGCGTTTTAAATGATTGAAACTTCAGGATTTTGTAAAAAAAAGCAGACGTCCGAAAAATGGGTTTCATAATACACTGTGCGTGGGAATGCCGAAAACTGTATCGTACCAATTAATATTTGAATACGGAATTAAAAAGTCGATTCGACAGAACGACCGTCACAGTGAGCCCAACGCGAGCATTCGAAATTCGAACAAGGCATCTGTCAAAAATTGGCGCGCTTCCTGCACCCTTCCCGCCCTTGAGTGGAGTCCGCTTACTTTTTTCGCGCGCGCGCGATACACGCGTTCCGTTTCACACACCGCGCGCCACGACTATAAAACCCGGCGGCGACCAAACGAGAGCAATCAGTAGCCTTCGAGCAGTCTACCACAGAAGTGCAAGATGAGAGTTCTGGTCAGTTGAGCCTGCGAACTTTATACGCGTAATATAATAAAACAATTAGAAAAAATAAAGTGTTAAATCCAACAGTGTCGTGTTCGTGCAGTGTTGTGTTAACCAAAGTTAACGTTTGGATTGCTTTGTTCACAGATTGTCGCCGCCGTCCTCGCCTGCGCCGCAGCCGCGCCTTCCGGTGCCCTTTTGGGTCACCATGGTTTGGGTTACGCCGCCGCTCCCATCGGATTGGCCCATGGCTCTTTAGCCGTGGCCCACGCCGCCCCATATGCCGTAGCCCACGCCGCTCCCTTGGCCGTGGCTCACGCCGCTCCCGCTCTGCCTACCATCTCTCCCGGAGACATCCACGGTGCCCAGATCGACGCCCACGTTGACGCCTCCGACCACGCCCGCGCCGCCGTCGACGCCGCCCGGGAAGCTCACGACCAACACTCCGAACTCGCCGGTCAGGCCGTCAACGCCGCCGAAGACCACTCCTGGCAGTCCCTGGACGCTGTCAAGACTCACGAGGCTCAACTGGACGGTGCCGCCGCCGGTGTAGCCCCCGTGTTGGCTAAGCAGCTGGCCGGACACGTAGCGTACGCCGCCCCCGCTGTGCACGCTTACGCCGCGGCTCCCGTCGCCCACGGTTACGCAGGTGCCGTTGCCCACGGATACGCCGCTCCCGCTGTCCACGGATACGCCGCCCCTGCCGTCGCAGCCTACGCTGCTCCCGCCAGCAAGACCGTGGTGACCCAGTCGCTGTCCCAGTCGCACCCCGCCCCGGTGGTGCACGCGCCCGTCATCGCGCACGCCGCACCCCACGCCTACGCCCACGGACTCTCCCACGGATGGTAAAGCTGTGATACCTACCATTTAGATCTAGACCAAAAATACTCAATTTTGGATTGTACATAAATTAATTAATCTAAAAAAAGTATACAGTTGCAATAGAGAGGTGAGGATGTGTGTGAATAAATGAAATAGTAAATTAATGTATTGTCTTTCACTTCGCTCCCATTGTTGCTGCGGTATGTTCATTAAATGCCAAGTCATGATACAAATATAAATTGCAAGGCGCATTGCATTTCGTTTCGTTAGAGCCAAGCTAACATTCGAAACCGGTCTTACGGTGGTAACTCACTAAGTATCTCATAAACCGAGCGGTTGCGTAAAATGCCAAGATTAAGTCATTCGGATTATTTTCAACGACACACTTATTTATAAATGCAATGTCAATGTCGTTTATGTTAATTTGCCACGGTAAAGCGGAAGTTTCATACGACATCTAGAACCTTGAACGTGAAATAGCCAAGAAAAAAAGCGTCGGAATTAGAGCGGCCACAAAAACCTTCATGTGTAGGTAGTAGCTGTAATTAAAGAAAAAAATACTTACATAAACCAAATATTTGAACGCTGCGGCTGTACGGAAGTGGCGCCTTTGCGTCATAGTTTCTTTTTTTTGGTTCGCTAACACAAAGGAATTCCTGTTCGTAAGTTTTCACGTGCAATTTAAACAGCATGCATACATTTATTTTTATTTAACTAATTATTCATTCTTCGTAAAGAATATCGAGCGTAATCTGAGATAATAGAAAAAAATGTGTAATATTATTTTGTCGATGATGCATTAAAAAGTCAAAATCATTTTCAACGAGGTCAATTTTGATGTAAATATATTTACAGTTCCCATTTACAATTGCGCAATGTCTTCCTTATAAATTATTTAACAATGCGTTGATGAAAAAAAAAGTAAATATATATATTTTTTTGTTTCCCTTTCCAAACTTAGGCAAAGGATCTTTCTGTGGTGAAATGAATAAATTGCACTTATTTTATTCAAATAATTAAAAAAGTTAATGCAAAAGAATTTCAAAGTTGACCAAGCAGTTACTGTATAATAATTACAAATATTGCTTCCACTCCGAGAGTCATTGTTCTTAGATATTTACATATGAATAGGCGAATAAATGAAAATTCTATTTAGTGCGTCAGTTATTTGACAATAAAATAGACATTTATTTTTTCTTTTGTCAATCAAAGAAAAAATTACGAAGATAAAGTGTGAGTACGGGGCGGGCCGGGCTCATGTGTGACGTCACTTCTAAGTAAAAAATGTCCATAAACGTCATCTCATACGATATTCAAATCAATATATCTCTGATTATAGAAATGTCGCTTTCATTACGTTTTTCTCTTTCATCATCATCAGCCTATTAATGTCCCCACTGCTGGGGCACAGGCCTTCCGAATGGATGGAATAGGGTGATTGAGCCATGACCCACCACTCGGGCCCAGTGCGGATTGGTGGGTGCTAACGACTGCAGATGCAGCCGGGACCAACGGCTTAGCGTGCCTTCCGAAGCACGGAGGAGCTCGAGATAGTAAATTTTTGATCACCCATCCAATGACCGACCACTGCGAAAGTTGCTTAACTTCAACGATCGCAGCCGAACGCGCTAACCACTTGCGACCACCAATATTATCTAACTGATACATGAAAAATTAAATAGTTGTCATCTCTATTAGTTTAAGAAATTATTCGTTGTTTCAGCTCTGTTTTTGTTATGAGTTCTTTGGAATTTCTCATTGCAATGGCTAGAAGCAAACATCGTACTGACCGATTTAACAAAGGTCTCGTATTGCGAGCGCTGTGTTCAAGTTACGATATACTATATATACATATACACGTATCTAGACTAATATTATAAGGCTGAAAAGTTTGTTTGTTTGTTCGTTCGTTTGAACGCGCTAATCTCAGTAACTACTGATGAGATTGGAAAAAATATTTTTGTTTGAAGTGAAACTTCATTACGGACGGGGTGTAAATGGAAAAATCCTATGGATAATATGAAACGGAAATGCGTCACGAGCGTCACACGACTATATATATATAATATATATGTGTGTGTATAATGTGTATGTATGTGTGTGTTCAGATATGTGGTGTGCACACATTTTTTTGTATTAGATAGTGCATTTATCGAGGAAGATTATAGGCTGCATAATATCAGGCTACGACCTGGGGCACTAGCCTTCCCTATGGATGGAATAGGGAGATTGGGCCATGACCCACCACGCTGGCCCAGTGCGGATTGGTGGGTGCTGACGACTGACCAACGGCATAACGTGCCTTCCGAAGCACGGAAGAGCTCAAGATAGTAAATTATTGGTCACCCATCCAATGAACGACCACTGCGAAAGTGTGCTTAACTTCAACGATCGCAGCCGAACGCGCTAACCAGTTGCGCCATCCAGCTCCTCCATGTTAGCATAGTAAGTTTGACTCACTGTGACCTTTTTCCTCAAAGAAAAACGCGAGTGAAACCGCGGGGCACGTCCAGTATATTATACAGATAGATGTTTGTAGAGTTAGACCTGAGTATCTGTATTTGTAACAGATGCCTTTCCCTTTACCACTCAACTATACGAGAGCAATGAAACATAAACTATAGTGTTTGAAGCTTGTGGCGGGAATGATGTTAAGACGAAAACAATAAAATTGGAAAGGTTGTCGACTTTCAATATATTGGACGAAACATAGTAACATTTTATTTCATCGTATTATAATAATAAGTCTCTATCTAGGACGTCCACGTGGCAGCTTTATTGCGAAGAAAATGCATTTATTTTATAATAGATGTCGCTAGGTGCGCTTAAATGTGATTCATGTAAGTTGATTTTTCTGAGAGATAAACTTTTTTAATGTAATATAAATTGTCATGATTGTATACGCTAGCGCAATAAATAAATATTGTATTCTACTACATAAATCATAGTACTTTTATACTGAAATTAAAACAATTCGTGCAAAATTATTACCTAACCTTTCCAAAATATCAAAAATGCACAACGTTAATATTCAAGTTTTCACTTCTGCCGGCACTCCCGGAGTGCAACCCGTCGTTTTTTTTTATAGCGAGGTAGGCAAATTACTCCACCCCATCTGATGTTAAGTGATGGTGAAGTCCAGACTTGAAGATAGCTGGTACAGCAGTTCTACCTGCCACACCAGCCATCCGCACCTTGCCGGCCTGCATGTTGCTTCTTCACGCCTCTTTTAAAGGATCCCAAGTTGTAAGAAGGAAGGAACACGTGAGCGGGCAGAGCATTCCATTTACGGATAGTGCGACAAAGAAATGAGTCACCAAATTTGGCCACAGTTAGACGGTGACAACGTAGGCCAGCGCGCGTGGTCCTCTGAAGGAAAGGGGAAGGTGGAATAAGAGAGAAGAACTCTTCAGAACACTCGCCGTGGTACAAACCATAGAACGCGCTTAGTGACGTCACGTCACGGCGTAATTGAAGAGGCTCGTGGTGTTTAGTCACCTCCTCATCGCCTATGATGCGGATCGCGCGCCGCTGTAACCTATCCAAAGCATCGAGCAAGTACTTGGCGGAGCCATCCCAGAGGTGCGAGCAATATTCCACGCAGGACCGCACTTGCGTTTTGTACAACAAGCACAGTTGATCGGGCGTGAAAAAATGCCGTACCTTGTTCAGGACTCCGAGTTTGCGTGAAGCTGTTTTGATCACGGTTTCGATGTAGTTCTTTGGATTCGACTTTAGATCGTGTACTTACGGCAACAGTAAACATTTAAACCATGTCTCAATGAAAACTTATAGGCGTTATGTTGCTTAATACATATTTTAAGTATCGTTTTTGTCAAACCAATACCTGCTATGACATAACATCGCTATCCGGGCGAATACACTGACCATTATGCTGCCTCGGCCCTGACGGCCGTGTCGATTTTCTCTAGCCTTTCTTAAGCTGCAAAGCAGCGCCATCTCTTCGCATTGTAGGTAACCCACAATGACAAATGAATACTTTTACAAGTATTAATCATTTGCAAGAAGGTATGTTGAGGAGAAATTGAGGAGCTCGATGGCGCAGGTGGTTAGCGCGTTCGGCTGCGATCGTTGAAGTTAAGCAACTTTCGCAGTGGTCGGTCATTGGATGGGTGACCGAAAATTTACTATCTCGAGCTCCACGGTGCTTCGGAAGGCACGTTAAGCCGTTGGTCCCGGTTGCATCTGCAGTCGTTAGCACCCACCAATCCGCACTGGGCCCGCGTGGTGGGTCATGGTCCAATCTCCCTATTCCATCCATAGGGAAGGCCTGTGCCCCAGCAGTGGGCACATTAATAGGCTGATGATGATGATGATGAAGAAGGAATGTTGTGCAGTTATATTTTTAATTTTTAGCATGTAACTGCTAGATGTTTAAATCTTAAGAAAAAAAAATCTAGAAGAAAATTTTACTAGAAAAAAAAACTTAAGATTTAAATATTTAGCAGTAACATATATAAAAATGTTACCATAACAATTATTTATTTGACAATATTCTGGCTGACGAAAATAGCATAGTTTTTTGAGTAACCGCTTTTCACCGTTATACTCGCAGACACATTTATCGGCCAACCTAGCATTTTAAGTTATGGTCTATATGGTTATGACGATTTATCATCAACAACCTATCTTCGTCCACTGCTGGACATAGGCCTCTCCAATGAGGGCTATCAGTATCGCGTATGAATCCGCCGCTAGAGGCGCTAGTGTAGCGAGAGGTCTCCGAAATGTCAAAACTCAAATGTTATTTGCTTGTGGTTTCTTCGGCAAATATGTCCGCCAATACAATATGGCCAGCCCACTGCCACTTCAACTTGCTAATCCGGACGATTCATAGCAAAAAAAAAATGTGTGCGTGTACTAGTGTACACACGTAAGAAGTGAAACTTCTTTATGGCCTTATTTTTCGAAAAATGATCTACATGCAACTTTCCAGAAATTGGTTAAATAAAGTTAAATTGGATAAAGTTTAAACAAAAGGATTTTATTATCATAGACATGAATACAAATTACTGCCTATGAAACTGTTATGATTACACGGCTCAGTAATCTAAGGCACATGTTCCACCTCCGACGATGAACGATAAGCGAGTAGAAACTAGAAACGAATTGGCAGTCCTGAGTTAAAA